AGACTTATTAATGATGATCTACAACAACTCAATGTGTGGAGAGTTAAAAATAAACCTGCATAGTGTATGTCTTAATCATTATTATGTCTGCTTATATACACTCTTACCATCTAATCTTGCCTTGCTTTTGCACACTCCTCCACCAAAATGCCACTTAATGAGCGCTACCAGACAAACTGTTACTGCTGTGTAAGCTACCAGCTTTGTAGCAATACTTTGGCCAATCAATGGGTCCCCTTGCATGATCAATGAAAAACAACATTTTAAGAAATATGAAATTTGAACATAAAAGCCTTTAGAGATTTAAAATACCTGGAGATGAAAACGTTTAGATATGTTGTATCTCAAATTTTAATTTTTTTAATTGAAAACGGTTACAGTTTGATCCTTCATGTATGTGGTCCCAGATCTCTGAACATAATCATACACAATGAAATATAAGATTTAAATAGTCTGGTTGGAAAATTTTCAACCCAAAGGAAAAATTTGCATCAAAACAACAAAAACTTTTTGTTCAAGTAAAACTCCTTGCTTGCTTCCCATATTTAAAATATCCACTTGCATCCATGTTTGCACTATTGCTAACCCTGGAACTTGATGTCTCCCAATGAACGAGCGTTCGAAACAAGTTCTTTTTCTCAGAAGAATTTGTCTGGATTAGAGTAAAAAATAGGCCCAGTCAAAGAAGTGTTAGATACTGTTAAAAAAATTTTATTTCCTAAGGTTGTCTTTACAAATATTACATAATTATATGCGTAACCCCTCCCAATGCAAAAGTCGTCTAATTGAGCTCTAGGTATTTATGATTTAGTGAGCACTTGATGTCTCGGAAAGAAATGAACTCACAGAACATCACAACAGGATTCCATCTCCTACTTTCTAACTAACGAAACAGATTATACCGATAATTCGATAACGAAACTTGCCGCGCGCAGGTCAACACGTGGTTCGCAGTGTTACAAGTCACAAGTTAGAGACTTCAAGTAACTCCAGAAATAATCGAAGTACATCTGTGAATAACAGACATAAATACAAACCAGGCATGGTCTCTTCAAAGATACCTCAAAACAAGAGAAAAGGAGATCAACATCTCAACCCTGCACGCGCTCCATCTCTTAACTTCCGCTTTCACTTCCACAAGTGGCAGGGATGACCGAAAACGGTCTGGAAATGGATTAGTCTCCGGTCCTTTTTAGCCTACGCGGTATTGTTAGACACGCCCTGAGTAGGGATGTGCCAGGGTGTGAAGAACAAAGAAATCGTAATTGCAGCCCTGACAAATTTATTCAAAGGGTTGCTGACTAATGTTCTACTTGTAACCACTTTTTTTAAATTGAGGAAATTTCAAATGTTCACAATCTTTTATTGAAGACAGATGCTGTCTCTTAAATAAGTTCAAACACAGAGACAATTGCTTGAAGAGATTCTCCAAGGACTCCCAAGCCAGCTCTTTAGTTATCTTGCACTAGAGTTGGGTACAGATTTAACCTCAACCAGCCATTTTTTTTCTAAATTTAATGATAAAGACATCCATATTTTTTTTCTAAATTTAATGATAAAGACATCCATAAATTCTTGTCATCCTCTACAATTAGCATTTCCCTATAGACTGTGAATGATAAAGACATCCATAAATTCTTGTCATCCTCTACAATTAGCATTTCCCTATAGACTGTGTAGGGCAAGCAAACAACACCTCCACATTACCTGTACTACACTACACATCTCAATGAATGTAACTATAGAAATGGATCAAAAATTAGCTACAAAAATGTTCATCAAAATGTTAATCTCTCCAGCTTTCTTCAGTGATCCTCTCACTTGCATCCCACAGCTTCTTTGCCAAACCAGGATCTTTTGCCAGTTTATTGCCTTCCTTGACTTTGCAATCACTGTAGTAAAGGCCTGAGACACCTTCCAGCTCTTCTGCCACTGAACAGTAGATGGTAGTCTGTGCTCCTTGCTTGCAGTCTTTGAAGAACAGAAACATCACCAGCATCACAAATGGTCTGATATATGGTTTCTTCAAAGTCTTCCAGTTTCGCCCAATGTCTGATGTGACAACACCAGGATGAAGAGCAGGGGGACAGCATTCTCCTGTGACAGAATATTCCACTTTGTATTCCAGCTTTCCTTGATTATCAATGAAGGCAAATTCAGAGACGAACACCCAACTTTGTCCATTGTTGATGTTTCCAGAGAAATATTTGCCAGATGTACAACATAGTATCAGGAACAAGTAAAAGCCTGGGATGGTAGATCGTCGCATTACCGAGCTAGCTTACTTTTTGGCTGAAAGTTCTGCAACTTTAGAATTCCCTACACTCGATTAAATTCTGCGTCACAATGCATTGCTTAATGCGCCTTTGATGACATCAAATCTTTCCAAAAATTACAAAATTTTGTCATCTCAGTTAATAATAATAATTGAGGTAATACGCGCGCTCTGATCGGTCCAAAAAATGGCGTTTTGTAGTATTGGTTGACTCCAATAGAAATCTGAAAAAAGTTGTCGGGGAGCCCCTGCCTTAGAAATATGGGTCTGAACTTCTCTCTTCCCACTCCAGCACGGCCTGAGCATTTTGCATTTTTTTTTCTTGTTTAATCTTACGCGTTAAGAAAAATAAATGAATAATTATAAAGGACAGCTCACTAAATCGGTCTACCGATGACGTAGCCATTCAGAGTTTCATACCATGTGTCTGATTGGCTGGTTAAATGCATGTAAAAGTTCAAAAACGAGAAATAACCAATTAACAACCCCCTTTGAAGATATCTTTCGAGCTACGTCGACAAAATTAAAAAATATTCATTCAAATTAATTGCACTTCGTTGGAACAGAAAAAATGAACGCATTACAAAAGAAAGTTAGGCCGCTACGTTAAGTGATGCCATGGGATTCTTTTCCTTGAAAAAAAGTTTCATCTTTAATTTTCAAAATTAATTACAAAACTTGTGATACATTAAAATCAAATGCAGTTGAATTAAAAAAAAACAGTTATCAAATTCAGAGTGGTTTCAGAGTGGCCAGTATTCAAGTTTCATCATTTTTAGTTTGTTCCGATACTTTTTTGTTCTTGAGCGAAGCACTGATGGGTGATTCTTGACTAAACCCTACATCTCTGTTGAAAAGATCTCTGTCCAATAAAGGCGCCCTGTTTATAGTCTCCGTGTTTTTTTCTCAGCAAGCTTGGCGAGAAGTTTTGCATAAATCTGGAAGAGAATCGCTTAGTCTCTTCTCAGTTAAAACTAAGTCGGCTACACGGCTTTTTGTTTCCCCCAAGTGCGTGATCATTCCCATATCTATGGAACTTCTTGCTTCACCAAGACTTTGTCTGAAAGCTTCTCTCCGTTTCCTCTCTCGGTGTCTTCTAATTCCGCGCGTAATCACCCTTGCAGCAACAATCTGTCGATTTTTGTCCATTGTTGTTATGGTTGGACGGTTCTCACTAACGGCGGGGAAATTCGTTTTAAACCTTTCCTCCGTTCGTTTCATAACCATGTTAAACTCCTCAGAATTGCTATCTTCGTATCCGGCTACAACTCTCTTCACCAAAACCTGCAACAAGTGAAGACAGAAAATCTTGTCGTCCTCGTACAGCGGTATGTTTAACAGCGCACATGCGGCCTTGTTTGGCTTCTTAATTTTCAGGTTTCCCTCTAAGGTGTGTAGAAAGTCTGAAAGATCCTTGTAATAAATATACTGAGTCCCATCGGGGTCGTACAACTTCCAATGTTGATAAAACAAGTCTACATCTTCTCCTGTAATTCCAATCTTTTCCTGCTCCATGACATTGTTGTAATTTTCCAATATCACCGCCACATACATGTTTATAAGAACTAGGAAAATAATTACGATAAAGCTGGAAAAATAGCAAACAGCAATCCAACCATTCCCGCAGTTCCCATTCGAAAGTCCTTTATAATTTGGATCACAGTCGGGTGGTTTAATCATCAAGGGCTCCAAAACATCGTTCCAGCCCGCTGCTGTCATCAGGCGAAAAATCAACAGCATCGAGTTTAAAAACGTTTCAAAATTAACCACTTCATTTAACACTCCTGTCTTCTTGACATGCGCAAAGAATGACATCCCAATTATGGCGTAGATAAACACAATAAGAAGAAGTATGGCACCAACATTGAAGAGAGCTGGCAAGGAAACAACCAATGAAAACATTAATCTTTGAATTCCCTTGGCTTTCTCAAAGAAGCGTAGAAGTCTTCCAACTCGGAATATGCGAATTACGCGTAGAAAATTGGGTGTTATAATGATCCCAGTTTTATTCAAGCTCTCCACGATTATACCTGAATCGCAAAGACAAAATAAAGAACGATATTAGATAATACCACTCCGGGTCGAAAGTGGGACATATAAAAATCTGCGCACTCCGACGTGGACAAGTCTTTTTTTCCAAATCAGCTAACAAAATCTAAAGTATTATGAGAAAGCAAGAAATTATAAACTGTTTACATTCTCTTGAAGGAAGAATGATTCTGATGGCGAAAAAGATTTTCGGATACCATTCACAAAGGTTTTGTGATGAATGCAACTTGAATCATTGGAGAGGTGACGTTCTGAAATTGTTCATATTAAAGACCGCGTTGAGCAAATCTCGTTAGAAGCACATACCTGCATTCACTCAAATCTGTGCAGTTTGTAGTTAAAGTTTTTAAATAAAATTTTTTTCGGAATGACAAGACCCTTGTTAATTGAAAGTTAGTATCATCAGAGGGCATATGTGATAGCTGATATGAATTTCTTGGGAAGTTCAAAATTTGGGGTTTTCAATTTTAGCCGGAATTTGGCGTGTAGTCTTCCAGAACCAATGCCACGCCGTTAGCAATAAGGGTCGGTGCTTTCAGTTCTTTTCAGTTCTGTAAAAGGGGCAGCTCTACTGAAGCTAAAAAAAGGTTGAAGGTAGCCAATAATGTACTCACCTACTATGGAGAGTAAAACAATGACGAAGTCAAATACATTCCAGCGCTGCAGGAAGTATCCCCATCGCAGTGCAATGATTCGCAACAGCGCCTCAATGATGAATATACAGGTGAAAATGATATTTAGCATCTGTGATGTACGCGCATGGCGGTCTCTTATTAAGGAAAATATCGTGTATTGATAGCTGAGAATTGTGATTCATTAACTTCTACCTCTCCTTACCGACATGTAAGAAGACGAGTTCTCTGCTGAAAGCATTTTTGTCCAGATTTTCTAATGACTCGTGAGAAAAATAGGTGAGAAATCTCTATCGCTCTAACTGGTCGATAAGTATGTTCCATTGAGATTGTGTAACTTCTATTCTCCTTGTCGTAAAATATCCATAAGTTATAGAATAAATAAGAATTATTTTTTACAAAGGATATCGAGGACCTGTGTGACTTCTGGGGGCTGAACATAATGGTGTACCATCATCACTATCATGTTTACTGTGATCACCAGGATGATGAAAATCTCAAACTTACGATTTTCCACTAGGTCAAACACCATCGCTTGACAGCGGTTCTACAGAAATATAATCGTTGCTGGGAGTCAGTGGTACCCGTCACTGGATGGGATGCTAGGCCATCGCGAGTTACCTGCCCCCCTTCCCTCGTTAGGTACCCTTTTATATTCCTGGGTGGAGGGAAAGTACTGTGAGAGTAAAGTGTTTTTCCCTGGATCACAACCGGCAATAATCCAGCCAAGTCTCCACCCAAGATTCCTCGATTTGGAGGTCAGCTCGCCTATAATTTTGCCTTTATAAGCAGGTGCGATCCACAAATTATACGAAATGCGCATAGTACTCAAAGCGTAGATAAAGGTTGTGGGGGTTTAAGTGCAAAGAACGTATTGGCAACAAGAAACTGATTTTTCGAGACAGTCACAAAGATGACCATAGCAAAACGGAGAGTTAAAAAAAATTAGAAGAAAATTATAAAATACTGGACACTACGAGGCTCAAGAAATGTAACTGACAAATTTCCAGATTTCAACGAATCGTAACTGAGCCTCTGTTCGAGATGGAACGCGGACGAAACTTTTAATTTTTTGCCGGAACCTTTTACGACACTAACACAGACGAGTAAGATTTGAAGTATTGCGCAAAATAGAAGAAGTTCCAACTCTTCTCTGTCGTTACCTGTGGCCTTTCAACTTTCTTCTTTGGTTTTATAGCTGCGGCGTTCTTGATCGCATTCATCCAGCTTCTCTGGTTTGGTGTCAGAAAGATATGCATGGAGCCACAAACTTCCATCTGTGGAAAACAAAATTGAGAATGCATGAACAAGGACAGCTTGGCATTTAGAGTCACTTCCAAAACTCTTGCGATATTTTAGTGTTTTTTTTTCTCGTGCCCTGCTTGTTTTCTTGAACGGGGACCGATGGTGTCATTCCATATATCTTATTAACCAAGCGCGAGGGCCGTACTGGGAGAATATCGACCCGAGGTCTTGACAGTACGGACCGAGCGCAGCGAGGTCCGTACAAAAAAGACCGAGGGCCGATATTCTTCCAGTACGGTCCCGAGCAAGCTTGGTTAATAAGAGATTTATTATACGACTGAGGTTCAAAGGGACACAAGTGCAGTATCATTCGGGACCATTCGGGACAGTGCCCGGTCCAATACTTAGAGAATATTGGACCGGCAATAGAGCATTTTGATTGGTTCATTTTAGTTATTGGTCCTCTGACTGCCCGAGTCGTGTAACAAAACAACTTATAGCCTGGTGAAAACATTCTTGTTGTTTGACGCATCAAAGCGGGTCCTATTCAAAACACAATTTTGTTGTGGATTGTTGGTAGTGCCTGAAAAAATCAAATCTTTTTACAAGACCCGAATTAAGCGCCTTTTTTGTAGGGTCTTAGCATGCGGAATTTTTGTTTTTTTTTTTGTTTTTCTCATTCAATCAATCATTAGGGTGTCTCTGTGTTGTCGCTGTTTCTCGTCGTTCGTTAGTATTTTTCGCTAGTTAGTTAGCTTCTGTGGTTTCTATGTCACGTATTTTCGTTCATTAGTTTCTTTCATAATATGGGCGTTAATTGCACTTTAAGTTAGCTAGTCGTTTTCGCATATATAACTTAGTCTTTCTCAGTTTCAGTTAGAGTTTTAGTCTTCCGTTAGCCACACAGTAGTTCGCTTTGAGCAGTTACTCCAGTTTATCCTTATTTCGCCTTTGGGCAGTTTATATTCGTCCAGCAGTTTCGTAGAAATCCTAACAATGTAAGTATTCTCATTTCAAGTTTGTTCAGTTCGTTCAGTGTATTTCTTTCCTGTCACTTTTACTAAATTAAATCAATTGTTGTAATTTCGTATTCATTTATTGTTTTAAGTTTCA